GAAACGCGTCACGGGCAAATTTCGTTACTCGAGAGAGAAGAAAGATGTAACGGAACAGAGAAAGACAGCTATTGATTGACACAAACCAAGGATTATAAGCGTCAAGAAGAGTGCCCATTATTGACAAGCGCCGATATTGACACAAACCAAGGATTATAAGCGTAAGGAGGATTGCCTATTATTGACAAGCGGTATTGGAAAAATAAAATCATTTCTGGCGAATTTCGGGGTTTTCCGGATATCTCTGGACAGCACTCGGAATTCTTAAAATATCAAAGCAGCATAATAATGAGCACAAAGTTGCACTATATTTTTTTCTGATTCAACCGTCGTCGGGTCTCTTTCCGTAGGATTCCAATACAGGATTCGAATAGGATTCAAAATACCTAGTATTCGAATGCTACCCAAGTCTCTCAAAGTACCAAGTGTTATCACAGGAGTTTATTCAAAACATGCCGCATTAGTAATAATTATCAAACTTCAAAATTGTATAACAGAAGACTTTCTTATTGAAATGAAGCAATACGTTGATAGACTTGATACTGTTTAAAATGCCAATCCCCACTAAGTATACATACCCCAGATGTAAGGGTGAAACTGATATACCCAATCGACTTTGTTTGCCTTGCGAATTTTCACAATTTGTTGAACAAAAAAGGATACCATCTCATTATTTTGCAAAACCCGAACGTAGAACCTAAATTATGTTAAGTTGTACTAGTAAATTTTCTGTTAAATAAAAATTTTGTTATAATATTTTTCTGCTTTTTATTTATGGCCTCTAGACTAGGTTAGGCTATAATAATTTAAACAAAATTCAACGAGAGCATTGTGCACAACATTAGGATAGGACATCGAATACTATATTGTTTAGGTTTTTTAAGTCGACACTTTCCGTATGGGAAGCAAATGAAGGAAGGATACGGTAAAAACAGGTGTGAGATCAGGTGACCATTGACACACAATCGTAGGGAGCCACACCAACTCATATTGGAGTATCAGCTAGGGGATTCTTATCTTGTCACAAGTCGCTACGGCTCGCTAGCTGTCATTCGATACCTATTTCGATATCGGATGGAGAGTGATTTATATGTATTATTGTCGAATTTCGTATCGACATCAAATAGACGGTGGTATGAGAAACGACAGAAAAATCGACCTTCAAATTTGAATGATAGATGATAGATTATGTTTATTATTTTATAATTTATTTTTCGCTTCAATTCAAACAATTTTTATTTCTAAAGATTCCTTTCGCGTTGAAAAAAATTTCAATTTTTAATTATTATGTTGCAACGAAATCTTAAGGCAGCACCGTCAACAGCAAAACCTTCACTTTAGACGCACGACTCGTAGGGTAGGAGAAACTTGATTTACATTTTTCTTTCTGTCTCTCAACTCCACACTACCGTATTCCTTATGTGAGAATGACAGCGTTCACCAGCACTCAACATGTTGAGTGATTAGTCAGCGGCTTTGTTGAAAAAGATGAAATATAACGAAGGATTACATACACAAGCGTCAAACATAAAACAAAAACACAACACATGACACCACAACTTGTCACTTCAAAATAAAAAAGGATAGCCAATCATTCAAACAAAGATGAGCAAATCGAAAAGCCGAAACGGGACCTCTTGAGGTGTCGAATCAATTTGATAGGACTTACGTCAGAGAGTCGATACCGAACTAGCATAAGAATCAGCAATTCGACGTATACACATGCAATTTAATTCATTTTACCTACTTATCAATAACTGATGGACCGTGCCTGACTCATCCATATAATATATTATAGGTCCTGCAAAATATTAATGAAACCGAACAAACAGACTGCATACATAAAACGTCCATTTTATGTTATATTTACGTTCATACGTCCATATGACCTATTCAGAACGTACATAAGACGTACATTTTAGTAAAAACATTCATATTACGTACATTTACATCCACCATTTTGGTTTTATGTTAAAGTGTAAAATACAAACAGGTCACTGTTTATTTATTTAATTCCTCGTGCCTAAGTTTAACTTTTTTGAATCTGTGCAATTTAATTCATTTTACCTACTTATCAATAACTGATAGACCGTGCCTGACTCATCCATATAATATATTATAGGTCCTGCAAAATATTAATGAAACCGAACAAACAGACTGCATACATAAAACGTCCATTTTATGTTATATTTACGTTCATACGTCCATATGACCTATTCAGAACGTACATAAGACGTACATTTTAGTAAAAACATTCATATTACGTACATTTACATCCACCATTTTGGTTTTATGTTAAAGTGTAAAATACAAACAGGTCACTGTTCAATTTGATAGGACTTACGTCAGAGAGTCGATACCAAACTAGCATAAGAATCAGCAATTCGACATCGAATTGTACATAAGAATTCCGCAGGATTATAAATGATGGACTGTATACACATGCAATTTAATTCATTTTACCTACTTATCAATAACTGATAGACCGTACCTGACTCATCCATATAATATATTATAGGTCCTGCAAAATATTAATGAAACCGAACAAACAGATTGCATACATAAAACGTCCATTTTATGTTATATTTACGTTCATACGTCCATATGACCTATTCAGAACGTACATAAGACGTACATTTTAGTAAAAACATTCATATTACATACATTTACATCCACCATTTTGGTTTTATGTTAAAGTGTAAAATACAAACAGGTCACTGTTTATTTATTTAATTCCTCGTGCCTTAGTCTAACTTTGTTTGAATCTCTGTTAATCCTAGTAATTCAAATCATTAGAAAATCGTGTGTTTATTTTAGTGGCATGCAGACGTAATAATTAAAAATTGATAAAAAAAAATCTTGCCTCGACTGGGATTTGAACCCAGGACCTCTGCATTTCCAGTGCAACGCTCTAACCAACTAAGCTACCAGGAGCTGTGTCATTTCTACCTTTTCGAATGTTGATCAAATCTGGAACGCGAAATAAATGAAAAATAGTATAGAAGGACTAACCACACAGCGTTTTTTTATGCCTAGGAAATTTATCGATACCGTAGGAAAATATCCAGATCGACGATGTATTTGATCTGAAATTTCGGGGTTTGACCCGGACCAAACCCAAATTTTTTGGGGAGTTTCCCGGAATTCAACCGCAGCTCCTTATCTCATGCTATCATCCTCAAAACACAGTTATCGTCCCGCCATCGGGCGTCATCTTCGTCGTCGTCTCGTCATCGATCGATTGAAAAAAGTCCAGCCGGGGAATCGAGTCCTCAGACCGTCACACCAAAATCCAGCACTCTAGACAAGGCACTAGATCATTGAGTAATTATTGATAAAAAAAATTTGTAAGTAAAGTCTATACGAAGTCACTTGAACTAGCATAAAAACTAACTAAATCCCGGCTTTTTCTTTGTCAAACATGGGCGGCGTAATTTCAAAAAACAGTACTAAAATTAATAATCAATAGACAGTATGTCAATTAATCATGATCGACAATGGCCAATCAGATCTATTGAGTCCACGTTTACTGGCATCGAACGTGTACATGGAGGATGAAGCCAATCAGATAGTCTACCTATCCATTCTTACTTGTCTAGCTTCCAACGGGTACGAGGAGCAATCAGTATAAATTTTGCTATATTTTTCAATATGTGATGCAGTATATTGACCATACCACTATTTTAGGCTTGGTCCAAGTAACTTCGTATAGACTATAAAACGTTCTAACTATACAGGTCTAGAGACAATTATAAGTGTGTAGACAGCTATACAGGTCCAGAGACAGCTTTTCGAGACAGGTCTGTCTACACAGACTGCTTTTCGAGACAGGTCTGTCTACATGGACTGCTTTTCGAGACAGGTCTGTCTACACAGACTGCTTTTCGAGACAGCTTTCCGAGACAGGTCTGTCTATGGAGACAGCTTTTCGAGACAGGTCTGTCTATGAAGACAGCTGTTCGAGACAGGTCTGTCTACACAGACAGCTACCTTTAGGACAGGTCCGTCTACACAGACAGGTTTTTTTATGACAGGTCTGTCTACACAGACAGCTTTTCGAGATAGGTCTGTCTATAGAGACAGCATTTCGAGACAGGTCTGTCTATAGAGACAGCTTTTCAAGACAGGTCTGTCTATGGAGACAGCTTTTCGAGACAGGTCTATCTATGGAGACAGCTTTTCGAGACAGGTCTGTCTATGGAGACAGCTTTTCGAGACAGGTCTGTCTATGGAGACAGCTTTTCGAGACAGGTCTGTCTACACAGACAGCTTTTTGAGACAGGTCTGTATGGTCTGTCTATGGAGACAGCTTTTCGAAACAGGTCTGTCTACACCAGTGGTTCCCAAACTTTTTTCTGTTGCGCCCCCTTTCTGAAATCAAGAACTGGTCGCCCCCCCCCCCCCTTCCTACCCCCATTATACAAAAACATTTTTTTTACTTACTGTAGCTCGTCTGAACTGGACTTTGGAGTGGAGGAATGGGCATGACAGTGGGTAGCGAGCGTGTGCTGTAGCAATGATCGCATGGCAAAGCTGCTTTGGCTTAAGTATGCGCTGTTGCCGGATTGTAGACATATTTTTTTAAAATTTCAACTGATTTTTTATTTTAAAGTTTAAAATTTGTATTAATTTTTTAGAAGACTAACGCCCCCCTTAATGTTGCTTCACGCCCCCCAAGGGGGGCGCGTCCCCCAGTTTGGGAACCACTGGTCTACACAGACAGCTTCTTTAAGGAGTTGAATACTATAGCTCTGTTCCAACCGACACGAGATCCGTTCTAGAACGGTAATTTCCAGTCAATCAATTAATTTGGTCGTTAAAGATAAACGTTCAACTTATGAAAAAATAGGAGAACATCTGGAAATTTTTGACTCTGGACCGGATCTTGTGTCGGTTGGAACAGAGCCAATGACTAGATAAAATAATACACATTTATAAAAATCGGGTTTTTTTATTTATTTTAATTTTTTTATTATTTATTCATTTTTTTTTTTTTTTTTTCAGTTGGAGCCTGGAGGTAGAGCATTCAGGATGGTCTGAAAATAATAAACATATTAGTATAGGTATCTGCTTTCAAATATTTTATGCTTACAATATGTAGAGTTCCTCTGACTACAGCCGCCTCAAACTCCACACCCCACACCGCCATTAAAAAGGGTGTGGGAAGTGCCTCTCCCACCATCCTTCTCCTTATTAATACCATATGAATCTGAAAAAAAATATGTGAAAATTGAAAACTTAAATGAAAAATACTATTTCGCAATTACTTACGGGGATGGCGGATTGGGCTTCCCAAATTAGCTTGCAGTTGTCTGCAATATTGTGAGACATTTCCAGCTGTAAGATTATATTATCAAATTTAATATTTTATGGATATAAGATATGAAAAAATTGTAAAACTGATGTTTAAAATATCCCATAATGAGAAACTTAATAATTTAATATTTTATGAATATCGGGTAACACAATAAATAGGACACAACCTAAGTTGTTGTTGTTGGGGTATTTTTCATCGGATTTTGAGAATGTTGATATAATAAAATAGGAAAAAAATCTCTTTTCAAAATGCTAATAAGGTCTGGCATGGTTGCATTTAAAAAAAAAATGGGATATTCTGACAAAACCTCTTTCTTTAATTTTTGAACTGAAATTCTACCGTTCAGGTAGGAAAAAATTGAAGTTACAAATTTTTCTGAAAATTTCCTCCAGGTGAAAATACAGAGGCGTCTGGCAATTTTGGGATCAATAGGAAGCGAATTACAGCGATAATTTTGCACAAGTGCAAATTATCGATAATTTGCACAAGTGCTAATTGCCGATAATTTTTTTTTCAGGTATTTTTTACCTGACTCAACGAGTTACGATCAGTTTTGTACAGAGTAAATTAGACACAAATTATCAGCTTTCTATACAGTAGATTAAACTGTTTCCAAATCGATGTTTGAGATCTCTTCGTATTAATCGGCGTAAGGTCTTCCATAGTTTTATCGATATCCGCCGCTGAACTCTTCTCAAAACAAGCCATTTTTGCTTACAAATTCGGAATTATTGTTTAAATGAAACTTTTGACAAATTTGTCGATTGACAACATAGCAACATAATGATTGTTTTAAACAAGGTCCCTAGTAAAATACTGCGAACAGGTATAAAGATTCAGGAAATTTTCTTATAAAATATAACTCGTGCAATGAAAATATATCTATAATTTTTGAAAAATTTGCACTCATGCGTTTTTTTAACAGAAAAAGGCACTCGCACTTTTTCAACTAAAAATGCATTCGGGCAAATTTCCCAAAAATTATCGATAATTTTCATTGCACTTGTTATATTACTACTGATAATTAGAACATTCAACTAAATCAATTTACACCAGTGGAAGCGCCTTTTTTTTTTTTAATTCATTTTTTTTTCCTATCAAACGTAAAATGATCTATTGATATCAGAAAGAAAAAGAAGTTGTAAAATACCGGGTATCCTAAATCAGAAGGTATGGCCCACAATGAGAACCTAATACAAAAACTTTCCGGAAATCTACTCACCGATAAAAATCTCTGGAGGGAGGAATCGACGCATACTATAAAAAAAAAATACGATTTTGGATCAAATACCTGCTTGCGAAAGTATTTTTTTTTTTAAGATTTATTCAGGCATATTGATTGATTAAAGTTACGTTTTGTTTTAAATGCGATTTTGGATCAAATACCTGCTTACGAAAGTATTTTTATAACTAGAAGCAGCAATTTAGATTCTTTTTTTCGTTACACGCTAATTTCAAGCTAAGTTTGGCTAGATTTTGATTATAAAGAAATTCAATCTGAAAATGTCTAGAAAACTTTACATTTTTTTTTTCAACAGTTTTTTAATATTTCAAGGAATAAAGTCAAAAGAAAACACTTCAAGGACTAATTTGGGTCATTATAATGATTTTTTTCTGTAATAATGACTCAAAAATACACCCACTTATAAATTTGTATCGTTGAATGCTTGTTTCAAGCCTATTTTGGATGAATTTTTATCCAGAGGGACTAAAATATTTCTAAAAATATCAAGAAAATTCAATTTTTTCACTTTATTTCAAATATTTTTTCAATTTTTCAACTAATAAAACAAAATAAAAGCACTTTCAGGACTAATTTAGACGATTCTATGATTTTCAATGAAATTTTGGTTTCCAAAATTAGCTAGTTAAAAAAAAAAAACATAGTAATAAAAAAAAACTACTTACATAGATATTCTTCCATTATAGTAACTGCACAACACACCACACTGAAGAATTTGAATATACTGAACATTTTCAATTGATGATTACGTTGAATATCAATGTTTATATTAAGGAAACGTGGCGTTCCGTGTTTTAAGCCACAAAAACAAACAGGAACCTATAAAGTTGTGGCACATATTTTTGTTGGTGATTTATACAGGGTGTCCCACAACGTTTTATTCAGTTTAATTGGAATTGATGATATCTTTTTGTGTCGCTTCTACATGTTTCATCCAATTTTACCCCTTTCGCTTCAGTTTCGGTCAAGTAACGATAACATTGGAATGTAGCTTATTACATATTATGACATTTTCGATAGAAAATAAGATTACGAAATCGGCAATGCCATATTTGCTAAGGCTTTGTCAAAAAAAAAGTAAATGTCATTTTTGCTGGTTGTCAGGCATTTTTTTTTTTAATGATCACACTAGTTTCAGTATCACTAAAGACGTTATCGCATACAGACCTGTCTCAAAAAGCTGTCTGTGTAGTCAGACCTGTCTCGAAAAGCTGTCTCTATAGACAGACCTGTCTCGAAAAGCTGTCTCCATAGACAGACCTGTCTCGAAAAGCTGTCTCCATAGACAGACCTGTCTTGAAAAGCTGTCTCTATAGACAGACCTCTCTCGAAAAGCTGTCTCTATAGACAGACCTATCTCGAAAAGCTGTCTGTGTAGACAGACCTATCTCGAAAAGCTGTCTGTGTAGACGGTCCTGTCCTAAAGGTAGCTGTCTGTGTAGACGGACCTGTCCTAAAGGTAGCTGTCTGTGTAGACAGACCTATCTCGAAAAGCTGTCTGTGTGGACAGATCTCTCTCGAAAAGCTGTCTCTATAGACAGGTCCTTAAAGAAGCTGTCTGTGTAGACAGACCTGTCTCGAAAAGCTGTCTCCATAGACAGACCATACAGACCTGTCTCAAAAAGCTCTCTGTGTAGACAGACCTGTCTCGAAAAGCTGTCTCCATAGACAGACCTGTCTCGAAAAGCTGTCTCCATAGACAGACCTGTCTCGACAAGCTGTCTGTGAAGACAGACCTGTCCTTAAAAAAGCTGTCTGTGTAGACAGACCTGTCTCGAAAAGCTGTCCCTATAGACAGACCTGTCTCGAAAAGCTGAATCATAGGCTCTGCAATATTGGAGTGCCTAGTGACGGCAATGATGCATCCACTAAAAAGTATGTAGACTTGGCAACTACCAGTCTATACAATAAGGTGCTAATCGCAAATGAAGCACTTGGCGCCCTTGGAGAAGCAGTGAATAATATGAGCGATCAAGTTAAAAGCAATATGAACCGCAATCAGGAATTGGATCAAATACTGAACAGAAACGTCCACGATGACCTTCGGGGCCTTAGTGATCTAGCAAGAGAGACTGGAGAAAAGATGAGTCAGCTGGCCATGACGTGCGAGGAACGTTTCCAGAAAATGGAACAATTTGAAACAACCATCAACCATCGAATTGATCAAATTCAACATACATTGAATATTGTGTAATAGTTATTATAAATATACGTACTCCCATACATATATATTTAGTTGTCTTTGTGGAATGTCCAGAGAACAGGTGGTTAAGGAGCTTCATCGACCAGCTCGTAAAAGCTTCAAACGTAGAAGATTCATACAATATGGCCTCGACGATACTTTTGCCACTGATCTGGCACAACTTGATCAGTATGCTGGAGAAAACAATGGATTCAAATACATATTGGTTGTAATCGACTGTTTTTCCAAGTACCTTTGGACGCGTCCCATTAAATCGAAATCTGCATCAGATGTTACCAACGCTATGGCGGAGATATTCAAAACATCTGGAAGAATTCCCAAAAAAATTATTTCTGATAATGGGAAGGAGTATTACAATGCTCAATTTGCAAGTCTAATGAAGAAATATGGAATACATCATTATAGTTCGTTTAGTCCTTTGAAAGCATCTATTGCAGAAAGAGTAATTCGAACCATTAAAGAAAAACTTTTCAAGCAATTTACATTGAATGGGAACCATAAATGGTTGGATTTAATATGGTCTATAACTGATGCATATAATGATCGCAAACATAGAACGATACATATGAAACCGAGTAAAGTGAATAAACAGAATGAAAAGGCGATACTTACTACTGTTTATAGTCATATTAAAGTTGCCGGTAAGCAAAAGTTCAAGGTTGGTGACGTAGTTCGCATAAGCAAGTATAAACATGTTTTTCAAAAAGGATATACCCCAAATTGGACTACAGAGCTCTTTAAAATAGCCAAAGTTCATATTACGAATCCGATAACGTATCTGTTAGAAGTCTTGCAAGGTCAGCCTATAAGTGGAGGTTTTTATGAAGAAGAATTACAGAAAACAAAACAACCAGACGTATTTCTCGTGGAGCAAGTGTTACGAAAGAAAGGAAATGAAATGTTTGTAAAATGGTTAGGATTTGATACATCGCATAACAGTGGGATTGATATGCGCAGAGATGTGGTTTAAATTGTAACTCACTGAGATTTTTTATACATTCAAAATCATGAATCTGTACTGTGATGTTTGTGAGGAAGTAATTTCTTCTTATTCGCATAACCTAAGTCATAAACATAAAAACAAGTGTTGTAATGAACTTGAACCTGAAATACATATTCTTAAAACAGCGTTTAAAAATCGACTAATTTCCTATAGACTATCCACAAAGCTGTATCCAACCAGTGTCGAACTTTATTTGGAGGAACTGGAAACAAAAATCATAAGCCTGATAACGAAGAATATTTCCACTCAGTCCAACATTAAATATGGAATTATATGGTTTATATATTTTGGGAGAGATGCAGGAAATAAAGTCTTTTAATACTTGTTTTACTGTAATTTCTCCTAATACGGATCTGCTCAAGGTACTCGAGGAATTTAAACAAGTAATAGTTTCCAAATCTAGTGAATTCAAGGAGAGAGATAGTGGATGGTCATTAGTTAAACTCTTATTTCTAGAGGTTAACATAAACAAGCTCAAACCATTAAAATAAATATGGTGGGGGTATTCTAAATAACACCTTTCTATCTCATGACCTTTTGTTATAGTTCTCGCTCAGCATTCGTTGAATAAAGTAGTGTATCATATCGAGTTTATTACAAACCTCAAATTACTACATTTTCATTATTTTAACGTAGTCACGGTGAAATCGGAAGGTATATCACAGCTCTTCATCGAATTACGCAATGTATGAAGATATCAGTGCCAACGACAGCGATGATTCGCAGTGTTCTTCAGATTTTAAAGAGTGTTAATTTTAGTGGCATGCAGACGCATAAATTAAAAGTTGATGAAAAATTTTCTTGTCTCGACTGGGATTTGAGCCCAGGACCCCTAC